TTGCTGTTGGGTTACCCACTGCTTCTCAGTTGGCCTCTTTCTGCTGGAAATTCAGGCCAATCGAGCTTGGAAACGGACTCAGCAGCCTTGCAGGCGCTGGACACAGCCCTCTGGAATCCAGGGTGGGGAGCCACGGCAGGGAGCTTTTCTAACTTGATGCTTCTTGTTTGCTGTTATCTTCATCCTAGGAGTTGTTTGGGTTTCAAAACAAACCAAAAAAACTCATTGCCATTGAGTCAGTTCTGACTCATAGCTTCTCTGTAGGACAGAGTAGAAGGACCCCATATGGCTTCAAAAGGCTCTTTAGAGAAACAAACGCCTGTTCCTAGCTCACAGGGCGTTGCTGCTGGGTTCAAGCAGTCAACCTTTTTTATTTTCCTTTGCCGTCAACCTTTTGATTGGTAGTGCAGCCCTTTTTGTCTACTTTTTATATCTTTTTATCATCAGTTTCACATTCAACAAATCAAACCTCCCATCATCTTACCCTGTTTCCATCATTCCTCTCCCATCCCCCTCTTATTGGACATTGTCTTCCCCTTCATCCAAATAACACCTGGCATCTCCCCTTTCTGACCTTCCCTTCCCACACCTGTTTCTTTTACTTTTCTGGATTTTTAAAAATAACAGTTGTCTCATGCAGTGTTTGACTAATTTCCCTCAGCATATTGCCCTCCGGGTTCATGCATGTTGTGCCGTGTTTCCCACATTCAGCATTATTTTTTAATGTCTCCCATTGGGTTCTTGTATCAAAGTGATTCATCCATTCTCCCTCCATTGGGCACTTAGGAGGTCTCCCTCTGTTTGCTATTGTGAGTAGATAGTACTGTGATGAACAGGGGTGTGCAGATCTGTTTGTGTTACAGCTCATTTCTTTACGATATATGCCAAGTAGAGGGGTTGCTGGGTTATATGGTCTGCATACTCCCAGTTTTTTGAGGACATAACCATATTCGTTTCCACAATCGAACCATTTTCTAGTCCCACCTGCAGTGGGACTAGAATCCATATATACGTCAATTGTGTAAAGCACATTTGTACATTCATTGCCCTCATCATTCTCAAAACATTTGCTCTCCACTTAAGCCCGTGGCATCAGCTCCTCTTTTGTTCCCCTCCTTCCCTGCTCCCCCCTCCCTCATGAGCCCTTGATAATTTATAAATTATTTTGACATGTCTTGCCCTGTCCGATGTCTCCCTTCACCCACTTTTCTGTTGTCTGTCCACCAGAGAGGAGGTCACATATAGATCCTTGTAATTGGTTCCCCCTTTCCAACCCACTCTCCCTCTACAGTCCCAGTATCTCCACTCACACCACTGGTCCAGAAGGGGTCATCCACCCTGGATTCCCTGTGTTTCTAGTTCCTATCTGTGCCAGTGTACATCCTCTGATCTAGCCAGACTTGCAAGGTAGAATTTGGATCATGATTGTTTGGTGGGGGGGCATTTAGTAACTAAAGGAAAGTTGTATGCTTCATCTTTGCTACATTGCATCCTGACTGGCTCGTCTCCTCCCTGAGACCCCTCTGCAAGGGGATCTCCAGTGGCCTACAAATGGGCTTTGGGTCTCCACTCTGCATTGCCCCCATCATTCATTATGGTAAGATTTTTGTTCTGATGATGCCTTATACCTGATCCCTTCGACACCTCGTGATCGCACAGGCTGGTGTGCTTCTTCCATGTGGGTTTTGTTGCTGTGAGCTAGATGGCTGCTTGTTTACCTTCAAGCCTTTAAGACCCCAGACGCTATACCTTTTGATAGCCGGGCACCATCAGCTTTCTTCACCACATTTGCTTACGCACCCATTTGTCTTCAGCGATCGCATCATGGAGGTGAGCACACAATGTTATGATTTTTTGTTCTTTGATGCTATAGCCAATGTTCTTAATGGCTTTGCTGTCTTCTCCTTCAGGCCCTTCCCCTCCACAGACCTCAGGGACAGGTGTATAGGGCTCCCCCCTCCCACATTTGTTTTCCTCCTCCAGAGGCAGAGTACTTCAGGACAAGTGAGCAGAGGATCTGTGAAGCTGCGGCTATTTGTGTATCCCTAGTCTTTCATGTAAATTCAGAAGTTGTTTTTGTGTGTGTGCTAAAGAACTGTTTATGCACCTAGGACCATTTGAAATAGGTCTGGGAAGGCATTTCTTGAACCCCAAGACCTGTCCAGGCAAACGCTGCATAGTCATGGAGATAATAGTGGTTCACTCAATTGTATCTTCAACCTCACTTTCAAGAGCTCAGAACTTCCATTCCCATGTCATCTAGGAAGGTGAGTTCAAGTTGCCTTTTATAGGTAGCAGGGCTGAGGCTCAAAGGGCTTCAGTGAATTGTCTAAGGTCTCATAGAACAGGGGTGCCTAGTTTAGTTGGGTTTTGAAAATAAATTTTAAGCTCTTGGCCCACACACAAGCTCTTGGGGGGGCAAAGATGGTGAGCATGTGACTTACATGCCCTTCACTGGCCTTCAGGTTACCTTGTCTTAGGGAATGTGCATGGTTCTGGGAAGCTGACCCACAGGAGCTGATGTAAGAAAGGGGTTTGTGCTTGGGGACAAGACTGTTGCTCGACAGGCTAAAAAGAATCCTAATCCGAGAGGTGCCTTTGGCATTGCCAGGAAGCCAGCTAGTGAAGCTGCCCGTGAGAGTGAAACCCAAGCCTTTCGGAATAGAGGGTCTGGGAGAGTGTGTTCTGCCTAAGAGCTGCCCTGCCACATCTCAGACTAGGCCTCCCTGGGAGACTCAGACAGGGGCATGTTAGAGTGAGCAAGTCCTCCAGACCCGAACTCGGACTGTCTTCTTCCCTTGGGAATTAAAGCGAAGCTACAGGGCCAGGAGAAGACACAGGCTAGATGACTGGCAAGCAAGATTCCCCTAGGCCAGTGGTTCTTTACCTTCCTAATGCCGTGATCCTTTCATACAGTTCCTCATGTTGTGGTGACCCCCCAACCATAACATTATTTTCGTTGCTACTTCATAACTGTCATTTTGATACTGTTTCAAATCGAGCAACCCCTGTGAAAGGGTCCTTCGACTTCCAAAGGGGTCGTAACCCACAGGTTGAGAACCGCTACTCTAAGCCATTGAGGATCAAAGAGCCAAGTGGAGGAGATGAGAACCGCTACCCTAAGCCAACGAGGATAAAAGAGCCAAGTGGAGGAGGACGTGGTGATGGGCAGTATTGACCCGGAGAGCAGCTAAGACATGCCCTCTCTTGAGTCTAGCCAGGCCTCGGGTTGCCCTCTATAAGGAGTGAATAGCTCAAGGGCTTTCTCTGATTTCACCTCCTGCCACAAACTGGACTTTGCTGGGATAGGAAACAGCCGTATTCTGAGAGCTGAGATTTCGCACTCTGCAGCCTTACCTGTGGGTCTGAGCCTTCAGGATATGTCCCAGGTAGAGTGCTTCTGTGCACTGGGGATTTGTGTTTGGGGACTGACACCCTGCCGGGAAGGTGGAGTCTTGGTTGTTAGGACTTAAGCATTACTGAGGTCACCAGGAGTCCAGGGTTAGGAGAGTGTGCCTTGGTCTATTGTGCCTTATCCCTGGGGGCTGGTTCATCTTAGAGGGAATTAGGCCTTTTTCTCTGGGCTTAAGCCACTTGTTTCTGAGCCAAGACCTTGGCTGTAGCTGTGCCAACCACGAGTGCAGTCCACGTGCAGGAGGCAGCCGGATGACTTTGTGGGTGACTGCTGTTGCTGGGTACTGGTCCTCCTGCCTGCAGAGTTGACAAAAGGAATTAGGAGCAGAGGAGTCAGCCTGTACTTGGGTCTGTGGGACACAGCCAAACAAAGGTGACCTTGTGAAGCTAGGTGACTGGAGGGAAAGTGCCTGAGCTAGACCTTGGCCCTAGCTATCCCTGCCCCTCAAACTCAGAGACTCTCCTGTAGGGACACAAGGCTTCCCTATGCTCAGCAGCCCCCTCTCAGCTGAAAAATACCTGGCTTGCTCCCAAGTGAAGCTTGCCGTGGCACCAGACAGGATTGGTGAGAATAGCCTCTGGGCACCTTTGTCACCTCAGTGAACCCATCTTCAGTCCCTCTTACCAGTCCGGGCACCAGCTTCTTCACCCTTGTCACAGCCTGCCTCATCACTACCCCCGCCCCCTACAGCTCCCTACCTAGCAGGAAGCTGTCTCTGCCAGTATAGGCATGGAGTTTCCTCCCAGGGCAAATCATAGAATAACCAGCTGTCAACCAAATTCCTGGACCAAGCAGCCCCTCTCTTTTGTCTTCTCCTCGCCCAGCTTACAACCTCCTGCCTTGTAATCCAAGCCTTTGATTCATGGTCTTGTGCGCCAAAGTCATACCAGGCCTAGCCATGGTGGCCAACTTCTGGAACCACCAAGGCCCAAGTTGTCTGGAGGCATTGGGGGTCTGAGTCCTCCCTCCAGGGAAAGGGTCCCGGTCAGGCAGAGACCCCCTCATCAGGAGAAAAGAGGACAAGACTAGCTCTAGCTTATTCTAGAACATGCCCAAACTGGGCGGCCCAAAAGTTCCATCCAGGCAAGAATGGGAAGACGGCCTTGGCAATGTGAGATGGAGCTGAGTGGCAGATGGTGCCCAGGCACATCCTGGGGCTGAAGCAGTGTGGGTCCCAGAGAGGGAGAAGGAGGCATACATGGGCAAAGTCCTCCGCACTCCCTGGGACGACCTGCCAGAGAAGGCGGCAGGATAGGCTGAGCAACCACGGAGCTACCAGGATGCTGGTGAGCTCATCACGCACTGCTCTGACCCTCTGAGCAGGCGTTCTTATCAGACCCAAAGTCGCCCACCTGGGTGGCCAGCCTGGCTGCTCAGGTGGTTCTGGGGGTGATTGGAAAGTGTTTCTAGAAGCCCGAGACAGCGCTCCGTGCATTTTCCTAGGTGGTAGGTCGTGAGCAAGGAGCTTTGGTTGTGTGGTGGCTCTCTAGGCTGTCACCCTGGGTGGAATCTGATTTCCTTAGGGGCTGCATAACTTGGAGTTTGCATGGCCTAACCAACCCTGCCTGGTCCCTGACGCTCCCAGGTGTTAGAGGTGGTACGAGCCAACTACGACACACTCACACTGAAGCTGCAAGATGGCCTGGACCAGTATGAGCGTTACTCAGAGCAGCACAAGGAGGCCGCCTTCTTCAAGGAGCTGGTGAGTCTCCAGCCCCCACCGCTACCTCTATCTCATGGGCCCTTTCCCTGCGGGCAGGTGGCCAGCCAGGGAATGACTGCAGGCTTCCAAAGGCTCATTAGGGTTTGAGGAGTTTGCAGAGATTGAGTGCCCAGCTTCTGTCCCAGGAGCAGGCAGTGAGAGCTGAGCCTCTTCCCCAGGGCAGTGGTGCCAGGTAGGGGAAGGCAAGAAGCCCAGAGCAACCAAGGAGCTGACCCTACATGGCCCGGCTGGCCTGGGGTTTGCCGTGTGATTCCAGCAGCAGTCCTGGCTCATGATTCCTTAGCCTGCAGTCAGAGCAACTCACAAGAATAATTTATCCTCTTCCTCTTCCTCCTCCTCCTCCTCTTCTTCCTGCTGCGGTCATAGCGTCTTCAGAAATCCCTAGCTGGCCCCCAGTCCAGTTATTTCCTCTTACTAGCGCCCCCTGCTTCCTGCAGCCCCAGCCTTTGCCTTGGCCCACTGAAGCCCCTGATGCTGTGACCTGCCCTCGCCCTGTGCTCAGAGCTGCTCTGCTCACGGGGGAAAGCTCAGCTTGGCTGGAGACTGTGTCAAGGACATACCACCAGCCTCGGTGCCATTTCCCAGGCCCTCAGCCTCCCTCTGCTGGGCAGAGCTTGCATCAGCCCAATTCTGAGGCCCTTAGAGAAGGGGGCTGGGTTTTAGGTTGTGTCTGTCGTGTGCTAGACACAGTCCACCTCTGACCCTGATCAGACACTCTGGGGATTTTGGACTTCCATTGCTGCCAGGCGAGGGTCACATGCTCCGGGGCGAGTTAGTTGAGAAGAAGGGAGCCATTAATGTAAGGAGATAGCAGGGTAGAGTATTTTTTTTTGGGGGGGGGTAGAGTATTTTTATGGAGGGGCTGACAAGACTTTAAATTAATGTGGGGGAGTTACTGAGAGCCAAGAATTAACAGCATGATTGAGAGGTGAAGAGGGAGGGAGCGAGGCACTGTCTTGAGGCTGTTCCTTGCTTCTATGGGACTCAGCTCAACTCTCCCCCTCCTGTACAGAAATTATGGCTGGGCAGCCTGGAGGGTCTGGTCCGGTCTGCTCGGGGGAGCCGAGCCAGTTCAGCCGCCTGCTGTCGGACGTGCTGTTCTTCCCTCTCCCCCAGCATAGCAGAAAGGGAAGGAATGCTGCCTAGACTTGGGGGCCTAAACCAGAGGAACAAGCCTTCCTTCTCCCTTCCCTGTAGAGCCTTCATCCTTTGCCTGCCTACCACACACATGCCCCAATTACCATGGATAGTGAGTATAGCCCAAACTCTGGCTCCTTCCCCACTGTCTCTCCCCTCGGTGACAGACGGCAGTACTTCCTGTAGGGCTGTCAGTCTGTGGGGAGAAAGAGTGTGCCATGAGCAGTGGGGCTGGAGAGGTCCCAGGCTTTCCTCCCTCTAAAGTGGGGAGGCAGCAACCTGATGGTGTGGAAAGAGGGCTGGACTGGGATTTAAGGACCCTGCGCCCAAGCCCAAGCCCAAGACTCCTCACCTCCGTGGCCTAATCATGCTCACTAGAAGCGCCGTCCAACCAGGAAAATGGCATCAACTCAAAGGGAGAGCGAGGAGGAAGCTGGAAGAGAGCGGGTACAGAGCATGAGTGATCTAGGGTTAAAGGAAGTGACCCCTGCATCCGTTTTCCCTCCTCCATAGACCCCTGACTAGTACAGTCTCCCCTCTCCCTGGTCAATGTAGGGATCAAGCCCTGGCTCCCATCTCCTTCAGAGCTCGGCTGCGCCAGCAGCCATTAGAATCCCTTTGTCTTTCAGCCCCTCTTGGTTACTTTCTGCTGTAGTGAACCAGGCTCATTGGCCTGTAAAGGTTCATTTCCCCAGAGAGAATTTCTAGCATTGCCCTGGCCCTGTGCCTCAGGCACTGCCGTCTTCCTGTTTGTAACTGACTCTGTTTTCTCTTGCCTTGTGTCCTCCCACCCTCCTTCCCAGGTTCGATCCATCAGCACCAACGTGCGGAGAAACCTGGCCTTCCACACGCTCAGCCAGGAGGCCCTGCTCAAGGAGTTCTCCACCATTTCCTGAGGCTACGCCCACCTGAGCAGCCACTGACTGCCCTTACCCACTAGGCTCCTGGGATGGAGGGGGGGAAGTGAGGGGAGAGAAGGCTCCCCTCAAGATTGGAGCAAAGCACAGACCTTGAGTTCTCTCTGGGAAGGCCACACATACAGTAGAGCTCGGACAGCGGGGCAGGTGGGGCAAGCCAGGGACCATCAGATGGGGGAGGGTGGGTGGGCGCAGAGAGGCCTCCAAGAATGTGGGCACACCAGGGTGTGTACCTGGACACAGGCTCACTGCTCCGATTGCCATGACAACGTCTGGCCACTCATGCCTTTTCAGGAGCTGGTGGGGCAACCCCAGTGCCCCCAGCCCCATCAAAGGCAGTGGCTTCCCTACTTTGGAAACCAGATCATCTCCCAGAGGAAAGGGGAGCCACGTCCATCCAGCTTCCTTGGAGCCTGATGAGCTGGGTTTGAAATCGGTGTCCCCTGTCCCGGCTAGCCCTCTGGCCAGCTCTGGCTCAGGATCAGTAGGAAGGGGCCCCTTTTTTGTGTTTCTAAATCCAGAGCTGATTTCTCTGGGATACTGGAGTGTCTGGCCACCAGGTTCCCCATGTGCAGGCCCCCTCTTCATATTGGGGTTACAACCTGAGCTCTCACTTGTCATCTGTTTTAAACCGGATGGGGAGTCTGAATAAACACGGACAGGTTTTCTGGACCACTCAGGTGCCGACTTTGCAAGTTCTCTTTCCTTGGAGCTTCTCTCCACCTCCCCAACGACCCCCTCCTCTGGGAGTTCTCCTGCCTCTCCTGAGCTTCCCGCCACCTCCATGTGGTCCGCCCCCTCGCCAGGCTGTTGTTGACATCGAGCCTGCTGGAGAATTTCCTCTGGGGAAGAATCCGTTCCTGCTGTGGTTAGGTGGCTACCAGGGAGAAAACCTGCTCAGGGCAGAGTGCTCTCCTTCTGACAGAGGCCTGATGAACCTCCACAGAAAGGCCTTCATTCTGTCTGCCTGGGTCCTGGTGGAGTGGGGCTGTGGCCAATCTGACCTCTGGGGAGTTGGCCTGGGATTCTTCCTTTGGACAACCTTGGGAAAGGCGGGGGTGGGGGATGGACTGGGAGCACTATAGGGCTCTCTCTACCCCGCAGCCACATCCAAAGGAACTGGGCTCTGAGATCCCGTGTTTCTTTTCTTTCTTTCTTTTTTTTTTTTTTTTTGAGATCCCCTCTTTCTAAAAACGCTCTATTGAGGCTGCAGGGAGGACAGGGTGCCAGCAGCCCAGGAAGACTCCGGGAGTGGAGCCTCCCCCGGTGCTACTCCACAAAGCCTCAGAAGCCTTTGGGATACTCTTGTCCCCTTGCCCCACTCCAGGAACCAGACCCTGGCTCCCACATGAAGCAGATCTAGACTTGTTCCCAAGAAGCCACCAACATGCTGCTGTTGCATATTGAGTAGACACTTACAAGATCAGGGGCTGGGTCATCTCTGATCATAAGATGGATAGGCCAGCCTGGGGCTATTAGTTTTCCACAGTGAGAAACCTCTAGGGAGCTGGTGGCAAGTGGAAGTTATTAAAAATTGATTTGTATAGGACAGTCTTTTTAGTGTCTTCTTTTCCCCCTCTTAATCTCTGTTGCCCACTACTAATTTCTCAAAGACTGGATTGAAGCAATCCCTGGTGTTAGTCTCATTAGTGAGAGCCCTCTTTCTGCCTCTGCCATGGCCCCACTCTAAGGCAATGTTGACCAGTCCCCACGTTGGGATTCTGTACACCATCACTGCAAGGTGTTACTCCCTACAAGAGTGCTACACACTTATGTCCAGTATTAGCAAGCTAGCCAGTCCTCCTGGGGGCCCCCCCAAGTACGTCATATTGCATCATCCTACCCAGTCATCCGGTGGGCCATACAAAGACTATGGCTTGAAGGGCCATCCTCAGCAATTCACAGCCCTGCCCTGGGGATCCCCTGCCTGCCCTTACAGATGCTGTTCCTCTGAGTATCTGCCACGGTGAAGGTGCACAGAGCTCAATTCAGAGACTTGCAGCTTTTCTTACCCTTTGGGTGGGAGGAAGAGAAGAGCATTCCCTTCTTCCCACTTCTGGGTTCCTGCCAGCCTTTCCTCTGACCTGACCAGGTTAGGTCTAAAGCATGGGCCTGCATTTCTTCACAGATGCCACTCAGCCGAGCAAGGTGCCCAAGAACTCAGCACCCCCAGGAGCCCCTCATGTCCTGCCCATACTCCAGCCTCCAAAAGCCCTGACACCAGAAGCCGAGGGCATTGCTCCCAAAGACAGGCACCTCTCTGCACTGGCTTCCCACCCCGATTCTTGCTGGGCTAATTAAATCAAGTGGTTGGAATTAGAATCCAATTGAAGAGATTAAATGTGCTGAGGTCACTTTAGTGCAAACTTTGGCTCTCGGTCTCGGCATGTCACTCCTGCAGAGAAGCTGCTGGAAGGCAGGGTTGGCTAGGACATTGCCACCATACCATCCATCCTGGCCCCCATTCCTACTCACTCTCATGCTGGGTAAGGGGCTCTTAAGCTCTGAACCCACCTGGGGAAAGAATGGGGTTGGCCATTGAGTGGCCATTCCTGAGTGCCTGAGGTGGTCTGGCTATGTGCTGGCACCTGCCTTCAGAAGAAACGGTGCTTGCTTAAGGGAACTGCTGGCGGGGGACACTGCCGACCACTCTGTGTCCTGGCCTTGGGACAGCCCTACAGATGCTCTCCCAAACCTGCTAGCAAACAAGGAATCTAGGACAGAGTAGGTGACAGAAGAGAACAGCAGGGAAGTTGAAAGAAGGAAAGGGGGAGGGTAGGAGCAGAGTCTTGAACTGACCTGGTGGACTCCTGCCCCACCACCCCTACCCCCACCCCACCCCGGGCTGGCTGGGTCCTCAAGGCAGGGTAGAAGGCACAGAGTGAATAGGACCCAGGTCCTGGGGTGCGTCAGGGTTGGGTCCTTCTGGAACTTAGGACAATTTTTATCCACTGGATGAGAAGAGCCTGCAGTGGAGGCTGGGGCGATTTCTCCTCCACCCCCCACCCCAAGGCCAGGTCAAGCAGGGGTCATGGAGTACATGGAAGGAGAAACAACAGGGAAACGAGGGAGTTGGCTCGGAGACAGGCACAGGAGACTTAGAAACGTACTCTAGGCTCTGACAACGACGAGCTGAGAATTGGGGCCAGGGTCTTCTGGTGGGGCGCTTTCTGGCCATGCTCGCTCCCTCCACGGGGAGCCCCAGGGCTTCAGGTTTAAGGGGAAGGGTTGCCAGAGCAGCAGCCCCGCTCCCTGCACTTCCTAGCTCACTCACTCCTTCCTCTGAGCCTCCCCCGAGCTGCAGGGGGGGTGGGGGATGTAGGGGAGCCAATCCCGGCTGTGCCGGAGGGGGAGGCAGCAGTGACAGCCGCGGGGAGGGGGCGGAGGAGAGGCGGCTCCGCGCCACTCGCTCCTCGCTCAGCTCCACTCGGTCTCCCAGTCTGCGCTCACCTGCCACCAAGCCTCCAGCTCCTGCCCGGGACCCCCGGTGGGCCCTAGACCCCGGCCCAGGCCCTGACTCAGCCCCCAGCCCCTCCTCCCCCTCCACCCCCAGCCCCGACCGCGCGCTACGCCGCCAGGGGGCGCCGTGTGAGCGCCCGGCCTGTCCGCCCGGCACCCCCTCCCCCGACCCAGGTGGGACGGGAGGGGGGCGCCGGGGGGGAGGCCATGCGGGGCCAGGGCCGCAAGGAGAGTTTGTCCGATTCCCGAGACCTGGACGGCTCCTATGACCAGCTGACAGGTAAGTGGGTGGCGCGGGGATCTTGGGGAGAGGGGTGGAGTCCATCTCCCCCAGACCCTACTGCCTCCAACCTGGCCCCTGCTCCCCCTCCCTCCCATCCTCTGTCCCACCCCCAAACCCCCTCCAAGCTGGTTTGGGCAGCAGGACACTGGGGTTCAAGGCTCAGCGGGGGGCGGGGGCAGTAGGGAGAGGCAGCAGGTGTGGGCCTGTGTGACATAGGATTGGCAGGGTGTCTGGAGTGGGAGGTGTTACGTGCGTGAGTGCCTGTCATTCTTTGTATGTCTGTGTATGTGTTTGTGTGTGCGCTTCGGATCTGGTTGCCATGCGCCCGCCCAGGCCTTGGTGACAGCCAGGGTGAATGTGGTTGTGTGTGGCCATGTAATTGTGTGATCTTGCAAGATGTTGGTGTTGGGTAGGATCTTGCCTGATCATATGTCTTTGTTGTATGTGCAACTATGTGCTTTGAGTGTGTAATTCTGTATGAAGTAGCATCTGACTACCAGAGTGTGTCAAGAGCTCAGTGGTGTGTCTCTCAGAAAGACTTTCTGGTTGTAAACCTTGTGGGGTCAGCCTCTGTGAAGGTGTGTTGTGTTGTGTGATAATGAGACTGGGGGGAGTGATGTTGGCACTGCCTGCTGTGTACTTCTGTGTGGTGGTGTTTGCCGTGAGGTTCTGTAAGTGTCTGTGACGTGCCTTACCCTTGCTGCCTCTTGGGTTGCCGGGTGCAAATGGGGGCAGGGGAGTCCTTAGTGAACCTCACTGATTACCCAAGTTTTCCACAAATAGCCCAGATGTGCCCAAGGAGACTCTAGTGTCCAGCTGCCCAGCTTGACTCCCAGAAGCACCATATAGTCCCAGCACCCATGCCCTGTAGAGAGACTGACATTAGTAATGGGTCAGCTCTCCACCCCAAACAAGAATGATGACCATTCCTCAAATGAATGCTCTTTCAACCCATAACAGTCCTTCCAACCCTGAAGAAAACATCTTCTTGCCTCCCATTCCAGGTCCAGGTCCAGGTCCAGGCCTAGTGGGTACCGTTGCTTCCCCTTATGTGTGTATGGGTGTGTGTGTGTGTGTGTGTGTTAGAGCCATACATTGTGTTGTGTGTGTGTGTGCAGATGCCTGGATTTGGTAGGTGGCTCCATGTGTTTGTGTTGGTGACATTTCCATGTTCATTTCCATGTTCGTGTACGTGAGTTTATGTCTCTCATTGTGCAGCCTGCTCAAGAACTCCAACATCGTGAGAGGAGGGAGGCTGTCTCCCCTGTGGCTGGAACAAAGCTAAGGGGAGGCTGTGACCCTTGTCCCTGAGGGGAGTGAGGCTAATGAAGACTTAGAAATGGAGAGAAGAATTGAATGTGCCTGGAGACCTGAGCGTCTCCCCACCACTGGACCAAGGCCCCAGGTCTGAGAGAGATCAGGTCTCAGTGCCTTGGCTTAGATGGGACTCAGAGGTGCAACTGTCCCGTTCCACCACGAACTCTCTTCTCACCATCAGCTCAGGATCCTTGAGAGCATCCCGCCCCTCCAACCGCAGCCCTCTTGGCAGTTTCTGCTTCCTGCTCTAGTTGATTCTCCCCAGTTAGTGGCATCATCCCCTCCCCACTTGGCTAATTGGAGCTGTGATAGGGTGGGAGTGGTCAGCACCCCTACTAGAAGGTGCGGGAATGAGAGTGTAAGTGCTAGCTCCGGGGCCACTTTTTCCTCTCTGGGCCTCACTTTGTAGCATGTCAAAGGGAGCATGCTATTTTGTGCCTGGCTGCTCCCAAGAAAAAATAGAAAGGTCGAGTCTTAGCAAGCGTCAGCAAGCGTGGTTCAAGCCTCAGCAGCCTAGCTCCACACACGACTTGGAAAGACAGAAAGAGGGCTCCCAGGGCCTCCCCTCTGGAAAGGGTGCTTATCTGATAGCTAGAGATGCATGTGGTTGAGATGCCAAAGTAAACGGAGGCGACTGGCTGGGTGGATGGCAAGCTCCCGTGCTAAAAGCTTAACCGCTATGTAGGAGTCGTTGTCCACGGTGCTGAAGTGAGTTTGGGCCATCGAGTCGCTGGAGAGTCACAGCGACTCGATAGGAAGTAGAATTGCCCCGAGAGTGTCTGATGCTGTAATTCTCTACGAGAGTAAAAAGCCCCTTCTTTCTCCCGTGGAGCGACTGGTAATTTCGAACTTCGGACTTTGAGGATCAATCACAGTCCGACGCAGCAGTCAAGAAATCAAGTGATGTGTTGCTTTGGATAATTCTACTGCATAAGACTTACTTCAGGTATTAAAAAGCAAAGATGGTACCTGGCGGACCAGGTATTTCCAATCATCTCATTTGCCTGTAAAAGCTAGACAATAAGATCAAAACGAAATCAATGCCTTTGCACCACGGGGTTGGTGAAGAATAGTGAAGGTGCCCTGGCTGCCCGAAGAACGAACAGATCTTGAACACAGTCCAGCCAGAACGCTCCTTAGAGGTGAGCATGGCGAGACGTCTAGAGTACTTCGGACACGCTATCAGGTGGGACCCGACCCTGGAGAAGGACATCCTGCTTGGTAGACGGTCGATGAAAAAGAAGACCTTAAAAAAAAAAAAAAGACCTTCAGCGAGATGGACTGACACAGTGGCTGTAACGATGGGCTCAGATTTTGCAAGATTTTGCAAGGATGGTGAAGGACGGCGCGGCCCGGGCGGTGGCTAAGGAAGGACAACGCCGCAGGAGTGGTTGGCCGCCATGCGGAAGCGCGCGCGCGGAGGCTGCCGGCTTAGGCTCTCCGAGTTACCGAAGTCCCAAAGTTCCTCTCCACTCGCCGGAAGCAAGAAGGATGCCAGGGCAGGGCTGGAGTTGGCGAGGTCTCCAGCTGGCGTCACCCTGCTTCCCCGGGCAGACGGGAAGAGGATTCCGAGTCTGCTTCCCTCTGCCCGCCACTCCACCCCGAGCTGTCATCAAAGTTGGGGAGGCTTTGTAGGGGGGGAAACCCATCAGAGTCCCCCATCCAGCTCCTCCAACTAGTTTGCTTAGCCAGGCGCAGCCTGCTGGCCACCCAATGGTTGGGGGGAAAGGCAACGATCAGCGACAGCCCTGTCCCAGCCCCGAAAAGATCCTGTTGGCCAGACCTGGGTCGCGGTCCCAGGTACGGCGCGGCACCTGCGTATCCCGGCCGTGGCCTTGCGCGTCGGTTCCCCGGGCTTGGGCGCCCTCGTGCGGCTCAGAGGAGCCATGCGCGGGCAGCCGAGTCCGGACGGGCCAGTGGCCGAGCCCCGCGGGCAACATTTGCATGGACTTAAAAGGTGCCCTCCTCCAGGTGAATGAAATTTTCCGTCAAAAAATGCACAGCGGATCCCAGCCGGGGAACGGGTTGTGCCCTCTCTCCTGTAGGCTCTCAGGCATGTGAAGGTGCAAGAGGGTCCTGAAGGCGTTTATTTCAGGTCTAACCAGACAGCGAGGAGCCCGGGAAAGGCTCTGAGTGGGTGGGAGCGCGGGAGCGCGGGCTGGTGGTCAGCGCCCGGTGGTCATCGGTGAGCCCGTGGGGCCAGAACGCAGAGGGATGGCGAGCACAGTTAGGCGAGAGAGAGACCTGGAGCTAGAAGACACTCAGTTGGGGGTTCGTCATTGCCACCCCAATAGGCAGGTCAGGTCGCTTCCTCCTCTTCCCTCCAGCTTCCTCTCCCACTGCTCCCAGACGGGTGGCTGTGTAGAGAGGTTGCCATGACAACTCTATCCTTTTACCCCCTCGGTATCCAAGCCAAAATAGGGGTGGGTGGCCTGGGGGCAGGCAGAGGGGAGGGGGAAGAGGGGACTGGGGCAAGCAATGACAAAGTCGATGCCTCCTGCTCCTTTTTCAGGTCCCCTGTGGGCTCCCCTTTCCTGCCAGAAAACGTTGCAGAAGAAACTTGTGAGGTGTGTGCCCCTCCACCACCCAACACACACACACACACACACACACACACACACACACACACACACACACACACACACA